TAGTTGAATCGTGCTCGCATCATTACCATAACAGAAGTATGTACAAGATCAGAGAGGAAAAAATCTATTCGGACATTCTCAGCCATTCCCATTATTTTATTTTTCTGACAAAAAACCTAATAGAAAACCTGCTTATTAGTAGAGCAATCAAAATATTTTGGCCATGTATACGTTTTGTGAATGGAGAGCGCGTTCCATACTTCTCATCCATCTGGAAAGTTTTTCCGGTTGTTTATCTCAATCTGGGTGACTTGATTGAGATGGTAAAAAAAAGCGCTCGGAACACAAAAACTCATGTTCTGAACGATACTGCAAACTTATTTGAAAGATTCGAACGCCTTCGCGAGTATGTTCAGCATATGCTCTTTGCTGCTCCACTTCGGTATGGATATCTAGCCAAAAATTGTTAAAATTATTTCACAAGTATGTTAAGAAAATTTGATACGATTTATTCTCAAAGGGGACAAATATATTCAAGCATTCTTTATTCATTCCCATCTATTACCAGCCATTTCGATCCAGTCCCATTGATTTGCCTCTATTCTTATCCGTTCTGATCCATTCTCATTTATTCTCTAGCCATTTGATGCCATTGAAGACCATTCGAAAGGCTGAGGGTAAGATTTTTCTCTGCGTTATATTTTCAAAATATAAGCACTCCTTTGTTTGACCAAGGTACTTATTGCACTTATAAATATAGATGGCTCTCTACCATAAGCATAGTATTTATATAGGACTCCAAAGTTCTTTCCATCTGATCATAAGCACAGTTTCTTCAATCGAATGAATATGCATACAGCGTGAAACAACGTCAACATTTGCGTATTCTTAGGTAAAACTACCCATTACCCTCAAAATCGTATGGTCCGCTCTCAATTATTCTTGTTCACCTTTATTGACAGTATGAAGTGGTCAGATTTATATGATTAAAAATTGAAAAATAATAAATTTAAAATATTTCAACGCAGACTAAAATGATAATCTGTATACGCATATACACAAATCAAATAAAAAGAAATTTGAAACAATGTCGACGCAGACAAAATTAAAACTGTAAAAAATCATGTTTTGAAAAGAATAATGTTAAAACATGTTCATTGAAGTAGACGTGCTTCAAAGCTTTGTTCCTTTTCTCATAGAAAAATATCGCTTGATAGACAGATTTAATCAAATAATTGATTTTTATTCTTTTTTAAAATGCACGTTAAGAACGCTTTACTTCATCATTCCAATTCGATGAAGTTCTTGATTGTTTTTATTGTTGCCGGTTTTTTTCCAGCTCTTAACAGTCTAGCATGTATAGATCACGATAGTGCTTTAGCGATAAAATTGGTGGACTTTGATATACTCAGTTTTAGTAGCCAACTTAAACAACTTCGTTTTACTCAAAATGAACCTGAATGTCGTGTGAGACTATTAATCAGCATTGTTACTCAGAAGCTGAGTGTAGTTTTCACCAAACAGATGAACAGTATCAACTTACAAGCCGAAATAATTATGTTTCTTAACATCATACAATCTAAAAACGAGGAAGATATTGAATTTTTAAGTGCTCTTCAATATGCATGTTCAGATTATGATCGCTGTGACCAACAATTTATTCTCGATTATGTTGAGTTTTTAGTGACATTAAAATATACTGAATATCTTCAGAATGCAAGTCCGTTGCTGATAAATAAAAAAAAGCCACTAGGTGAGTGTCATATTCCTTACGATAACCTAATAAAATGTTGCAAAGAAAGATCATGTCTGTGATCATATACGTGTCACTATCGGATTTCTTATTCCTATCAATATTTTTTGAATATCATATGTGTAATTCGAATTTTCTACTCGTGAGTTGTGACTGTTAGATGTGTCGGCAGATACCGATCCGTTCGTTTAGGGAAACGCGAATTTCGCAGTACTGACTTTCGCAGTTCACTTTCGTCAATTGGCAAAAGTGAACTGCGAAAGTCTGTACTGCAAAATTCATGCTACCTTTCGTTTATTTATGACTATATTTCGAAACGTGTACATCTGTATAAAATATCCCAGAGAGCAAAAAGAAAGAAAGAAATAATGTCAAGGATTGGTGCCTCTTTTTCAGTGACATTCCATAACAGTGACCTATTATTTCCCTAATAACATACGATAATTTTAGAGCATTGCACAGGCGGCGAAAATGCCAATCGACTCTGTAATCCAGGTGATAAATGTGTAGCAGAATGGTCATTAACATCCAACATGGCTAGAATTCGATGTCAGGAAAGTTCGATTGTTGCTTTTCAGGCCGTAACTTATATCAATATTACCAGTCTTAAAAGAACTCAAGAGAACTTACTTATGTGTAACTATAATGAATGTAATGGCATTGGTATTATGAGACAATTTGATACACATTTGAAAAATTATTACAATCTAACATTAAACACTATGTTCTTTGACAAGAATAAATCAGTAGAACAAATACAAACTTCAACCGCAAATGTCGCTTCATCGTACTCAGAAAATTTGCAGAGATCATCGATGGAAAAACAACTATCGTCATCAAGCAAGGTATCGATAATCATGAATATAACAAAACATGTCTCTGCTTCTACCACACAATCATCTGTAACAACCAACAACCCTACAACCACACCCTCATCAACCACTCCAGTTTCCAAAAATTCTTGGTCTTTATGGCACACTGAAAATACAACGATATTCATTGCTTTTGCTACATTCATCATTTTTCTTGCTAATTATGACTTTCGTCTACATTAAACAACCATCAAAATATAATCAATTCGCTTTTGATTATACCACTAAATTCTAATTAGAAAAATTCGAAATTACTGATTAATATATTTGCTTTGCTTTATTGTTCATAAATATTCAAGCTATCAAATAAAGTCTAAAGACAGATTGATAATTGATAATGGCAGTTATAACTAGGGGTGGACCATTTAACTTAATTTATCAGTTAATTAAGTGGAAATTAACGGTTAAGTGCAACCCGTTAACCGTTAATATTAACGTTAACG